ATTTTGTAGACATATAGTAATTTTTCTATCACTATGTTAATTTTTATTTTATTTGGTTTGTTTTCAACAGCAATAGCACTTTTGAAAGATAAACCTCCAGGGACATTTATTGTTAGAGATAGTAATTCCTTCCCTGGTGCCTTTGGTCTGGCTTTAAAAGTAGCTACCCCTCCTCCTAATGTCCAACCTACAGGTTTGATTCATTTATTATTTTATCATAATCTTAAGAACAAAACAGCACAAACAAACTTGCTTTTTTTTTTGTCAGAATAATGCACAAAACTCAAAAGGGAACATTCATCCATAAGACTAATTATCAAAATTTTTTATTCTGTTTCTTTTCAAATATCCAAGATAATGTATTTGAAAAGAAATACAATAAAGGATTCTGAGAATTAGTCTTATGGATGAATATTCCGTGAAGATGAACTGGTGTGGTCAGAAAGTACTTGGGAGTTTTGTGCATTATTCTGACTCCAAAAGAATGAGTTTGTTTTTTATTTCTTATAAATACTAATAATAAGTTGAAATTAATTTATTAATAAGAAATTTATTTTTCAGGAGACATATCTAATGAATTAGTTCGGCATTTCCTTATTGAACCATCATCTAAAGGAGTTAGACTAAAAGGAAATCCCTTTGAACCAATTTTTGGTAAGAAAAAATTTAAAACATTTTATGTTTTAAATTTTTAAATTTAAACATGTTATGTTATTTTATATCTTGAACGTCATACTTTTTAACGTTCTAATAGCTACTGTGGTTACATGACGACAGCCTTTATGTAGAGATGGCGCTATTTATTCCCATAGAATATCCTTTTAAAAACGTTCCAAAACACTTGTATCGTTAATTCAAATTTTAGAGTTAGGAGTTCAATTTTTTCTTTTTTCCATTTATTCTTGAAAAAGGTCATTGAATATGACTGAAAACGTTAGAATGTAATAAATACAGCTGCATACTTAAAAGGTTTTCTTGAGTGTGTTTAACTATTAAAAATACATTTAAAGAAAGAATTAACTGATTGTCCCTGGAAGTCGGCTTCTTATAGAAACACAGCTTCCCTATCACCAAATGTCACGGCACACTACTGGCCTTTAGTATCTTATAAAATTTCCTTTGCCTGATACATCCAAATGATATAATTGAATATGGAGGCATACAGCCTCCATATTCAATTATATCATTTGTATATCCTATCAATGTCAAATCTGTTACAGGACAGCACCATATGCTATCCTGTAACAGATTTGACCACAGATGTTGCAATTTCTACTCCAGTTCCTTCACACTCATAGATGGCAAAACATGACATTCCATCTGTCTCACAAATGCATAATGGCCAATTAAGCTGGAAAACAGTCATGCCAAAAAGTGCAGAAACATGATGGAGAATTAAGTACTGGGGTTGGATGTCATGCCAACAGTTATTTCAATCAAAACTTCTTCCAAAACTTCAGACTATGAGGCGTTAAATATAATTAAAAATATTTTATTCTTGCGAGCGCTTTGATGATGGGAACATGATGGAGACATTTCTGAAAACCTTAGCTGTCTGTGAGGCCAAGTGTGAGGCTCTGAACAGGTTTGAACCCTCAAAAATTTTTTAAAATATTTTTTTTTGAAAGAAAAAAAATAGAAGTTAGAAATATTTTTTTTGTATAAAAATGGAACACAAAGTTTTAAACAATAGAAGAATGTAAGTCCTAAGATTGATCATTTTCAGTTGGGGGATTGAATTAAACTTAAATTTTGACCCCTCCCATGATCTAAGTTGAGATCTTGTTACACTTAGTAATGAGTGAGCAACCACTTAGAAAGCGAGAATGAAGAAAAGCAACCAATTGGAATGGGTGATTGGGATGGAAATGAATAAAAACCTGGGAATTCAACAATGCGACGGCTTCTACAGAAAGTTCCAAGTGTCAGACCAATTGTTGTATGTGTGTCTCATGCCCATCTTTGTCTCCATCTTCTGTCCTTGGATTGACATCTTCCTATCACCAGAAGTTGAGCATATCATCCTGGAATTGTCAAGAAATCAAGAGAACTGTCATTCACAAACCAAGAACACTCCTTCATTTGGGACTATCTTGGAAAGGAGAGGAAGATTCAGGAGCCCCCACTTACTCAGAACTTCCAAGATTGTGGAAATCTTGTAAGCTTCTTTCATGTCAAATAAATAGTCTTGTAACTGTAGAGTCTGTCTCAGTGATCATCGCACCTTAGTGACCCCTCAAATCTCTTAACATTTCCCCCATTGCCAACCTTACAAAGTATTATTTTACTAGAAAAGACTATTTGTGTTGCTTTTTATGGCAAGCATTTTCAGCCTTGTATGATACATGGTACAGAATTTTCTAAATGCACTGCTATGCAACATGTTCAGGATCTTCCTTCATGTCATCAATGTTCCTTACACCCCTACTAGAGGTGACTGATTATCATATAAGACAGGTGTGGCCAAACTTTTATACCTTAAGGGCTACTTTTTTGGTAAAATATAGTCTGAGGGTGACTATGAATATGGGCAAACAATTTTAGGATTTTTATATGTGCATGCGTTAACATTCATTTGCATTGTTTGTCGGGATAAATACAAACAGTATGGGTACGTTGCACAGACAGTCTATTATTGTAAGAATAAATGATCGAATTAAGATTTTTAAACATTAGTTTAAGTGAAAGCAAATTGTTCAACTTTAGCTTCGTGGGCTACTTTCAAAACCTTTGCGGTCGACCGGTCGGCCATCCCTGATATAAGATATATACGCAGATCAGCATGTCAGCAGTGGGGACAGTACTGTATGCTACTCAATAGTGAAGGGAACACTCACCTGTGGTCCTCCATACTTAAACACCGTGATCATCCATTCCCAAACAGAATTGGGATTCATTACTAAAGATAATGCAGTGCCAATTTGTAGCAGTTCATACTTCTTTGTATAGCACTAGTACGAAGCTAATGTGTTGAGCAGCTGATAACAAGATGTAGCTTACTAGTGATAGGGCTCTATGAAATACTTCTACCTGTCTCTGAATTGCAGACACAGATGCTTTTGCAGTTGTTCATGCTTGTCTCACAATCTTCTGGTGGTCTGTTGGGGCATCCAATGCTTTAACACCTCCTCACAGATTGGACTGTCCAGATTTTCAGAGAGAGATTTGAGACATTCTGTTGGTATTCCTGATATGCATTTGGATCTTAATTGTAATCTGCTACATACTTCTGAGAAATGAAATTGTTCAGTTATTGCAAAATTTGGCATAGAGCTATCTGGGTGTGTAACTTTTTTGTCAATGAGTTTATATAAATTAATAACAGTTCTTAATTCTTTTTATTTTTTAATTAACTAATTAAATTCTTTTGCTTTATTATAGGTAGCCTTTCAGCTTTAGTATATCAACATACGATTACACCTCTTGCATTGCCCTGCAAACTTGTTTTACCTGAATATGGTAAATATTACAAATCTCTTATTTAATGTTGTTTACATATACTTATATATTTTTAGTATATTGATATTTAGTAATGTTTATATTTGGAATACCTGGAAAGAAATTTTGAGTAGTAATTCTTTGAAGTTAAGCAAGAAAATTAAGAGATTAGTTTTTCAATTTGAATAGTAGATAACAAGAAATAGAGGAAATTTTAAATTTAAGTTCTTACCATCCCAATTTGTTCAGCTATCATTGTTAGTTAACTGATATTTTTAATTAGTGCTTGATCACTGTTTCTTCTTATTAGTAAACAATATTTCAGTAATCATAATTTATCTTACATTTTATACCAAAATATTTTACATTTTTTAGCATCTCATGACATTATTAACAAAAACATATAAAGAAAAACACATTTCCTTTTATTTGGACACATAATTAAGTGTTTAATTATCAGAATACTGTAAATCTTCATTCATATATACAAAATTTTTGTTTATTAGTAGTTTAAGTATGAAACATTGCATTAATTAGTACTAATTCAAACTCTCACCATAATTAATCGTGCTATTTTTATGCTATAATTAATAATTGGAAACTAAGTAATTTGGTACTAGAGGTAGATGTTAGGTGCTATCTCTTATCTAAATTAATAATTTATTAAATAATTTAGAACATTCTGGAAGAAAAAAACTAGCTCAAAGAGGAACTTGAACCTGCAACCTCAACTTATTGTGCAGCATGCTTGCCAATTATGCCACTGAGGCCCCGAGCAACTCTTCACTTCCAGACGTATTTAAATTTAGATATAACCATTCACAGTTACTTATGGCACCAGCTGGAGTAACTCCTATACCCATGGCTATGCACTCCTACACCATGACACTCAACCAGCTATTGCTTTACTTGGCTTAGTATGTAGCTATATAAATATCATGCCAGGTATTATTATAATTATTAATTTAGATAAGAGATGGTGCCTAATGTCTATCTCTAGTACCAAATTACTTAGTTTCTAATTATTAATTACAACATAATAATAGCCCAATTAATTACGGCAAGAGTTTTGATTAGTATCAATACATCAGCTTTGGGAAGTTGATATATATGCATTACTTAGTGTAAATATGATGTTAAATTAGTTTTAAAATGTCATATTTTTGTTAGCTGAATATACCGTATATCTACACAGATAAAAGACAATAGTTGAATCAAAAAAAGACAACTAAAATCCGACGTTGTCTTATAGGACAGATATAAAAAAATTAGATGAAATTCATATAAATTAAAATCATTATAAAAAACTGACAAATTATAATTATTTGCTGGTAGAGAGTAGGATATGTCCACAAAATAGAATAGCCCATATGATGTTTTTGTGAATAGTCAAGGTCATTACCCGAATGCGTGAATCAGTGTGAATGTTTGCAACAATCGCAAGGCAGTGCTGCCAGATGCAAGAAAATAAAATTTGAAGTTCTTTCAAAAAATTATGAATAGGACATAATTCTGTATACGCTACACAGTGTTATTATCCAGATGATGATCGCTGATCTAAACTAAATTCATAGGCTGTTGATAGTTTGGGAGTTGTCTTATAAGACAGATATATGCTAAAACTATAAAACTTTGATGAAAATTTATACCTTGTCTTATTTGAAGGTCGTCTTATCTGCGCAGATATACAGTAATTGAATTTAAGGTAATTTAATTTACTGTTAGACTTGTTTTTTATCATTATATCATTCTATCAAATTCTCTATCAAATAAATTAAGTTCTTAAGCACATATACCTATAATTTACATTTATTTGTTAATTTGATTAAGTCAAAATCTACTTAACTATGTAGTAACTATCAATAATTCATAGTAATTAATTTTCAATAGAATCATTATAAGAAAATTCTATTTCAATTATGAATGTTAAAAATTTAATATAAAAATTAAATTTTCTGGCTTAAAAAGAAAACAAATCACACCACAAACACTACTAACCAACAAAAAGAACAAAAATTTACCATAAACTAATGTTTTTTTCTATATACAATGGACATCATCATCATGGAAGAAAATGTTAGTTTATGGAAATTTTTGTTGGTTAATGGTGTTCATGGTGTGAATTATTAATATTCTAATCCAATATTTCAGCTAGTGACTTTAAAAAAGAAAATAACGATATAATCTAAAAACAAATTAATAATACAAAATATAATTTTATTACATTAACTTAAATACAATGATTTTTAAAAACTGTAACAAATAAATCAACACAAAATTAATTTCTGTTATGCTCATAGAGCTATCAATAAATAAATCTTCATGAATATGAATGACTTCATGTTTCAAATATCTCATTTAATATTAAAACTAAATGAATGTTTCTTCAAATTTGAAGTTACGACTATAAACTATTAACAAAAATATACATTTTCGAGTCTATCCTTTAATCCTTTTAACACAACCACAGAAGTAACAGGTTTGAAGAATAAACTACATTAAATAAAGACAATAATACGTAAAAAAATTCACGAAGTTAAAAACGATCAAATGTCAGCCTTTTCAATGAGGATCTGATGTTTTAAATTAACAACAAAAAGTAAATCTTCTCACCATACTATAATGTCCTTAGCCAATTTATAACTGGTTCTAGCCTTCTGGTGGTAGGTGAATGCTTTATTACTGTGAAACTTGAAATAGTATCTTTAAACATCTTTTTTAAGTCTTTGTCACTCCAAATATAAAAACTAGTCTCTTGACTCTGTTTTAAATTCATTTAAAGAATCATTTACTATATATTAATAACATTTTTTAAGATGATATGGAATGTAAGTAAATGAAAATATAGCAATACAGTAGAGCGTCGTTTATCCGAATCAATTGGGGACTGGGTTGTTCGGATAACTTATTTTTTGGATAACCAATTACGTACGAAAAAATATATTAACCTATCCCATGTTGAAATTTTTTTCCGTTGCGTGTCGCTTCGCGTTGAATTTTTGTCGATGTTAAGCCTAACGTAAACTTTTTAAAATAATAATCGTGGCTATTGTATTGTTAAAAATTATTTTTTTATTTTTTACAAACAAAATAAATATATTGAAAAATNGCAACATTTGCTGGCGTTGGGTTGCTATCGTGGGGAATCCTTGCCAGCAGCCAGAGCTGGCAAGGATAAGGAAAATTGTTTAGGACTCTTGATAGAATCAATGTTTATGAAATGCAGCAAATGTTTTATTTAAATACTATATACACACAAGTGTCAGAAAAAAGTGTTAACATTTAAACCAGTTTTTAATATTAGGCTCATCAATTTTTCTTCCTGGAATGTTCTAATATATCAATGATATGACTGATCATTGCTGATTTACAAAATGCAATCAGTGTTTGTATAAAATTATTGGACAAATATATATAGTTGTCTTCTTACTAAATTCTAAAGATATATTTAATTTGTTGAGTGTAAAAGAACATCATTTGAATGGCTGGATCTTGCAAACTGTTCCAAAATTAAACTTGATAACTGTAAGTTAATGTGTAAACTGAAAACTGAAGCACTGACTGATGTGCTGACTTCTGAACCGGATTCAGGATTCAATTCTCTGGAGTAAGCAACAAAATATTAATTGCTGTTCTGGGACCCACTCAGCCTTCATTGTAACAAGTACAGTACACCTATCCCTCTTTTTACACAGTCCATTTTATGCAATTTTGAAATAACACAGTCAACAAAAGGAAAACTAATCCTCTTTTTATGTGATTGATTCTTTAACATGGGATGAAAACAGTTTATTTGAAAATTGCTAAATTTAACTTTTCATTAAAATTGTGTTATTGTTAAAAAAGTTAATTTTTTTTAACTCTTGATTTCAACAAAAAGGTAACTTTTGATAACGTTACAGTACATATAATATTGTACTGTACATTACAGAATGCTGTATGCTTCTTAAGCTACCTTGTTTACTATATTAATGTACAAATAATGTTAATGATAAATGATGTTAGTGTGAGGGGCTAGCCGGGGATACGAAGTAAGTAAGACTCTAGTATCACTTAATCGGCGACTATTCTCTAGAATAGCCCTCTGTTTGTCTAGAAGAATAGCTTTTCTATCCCAATAAATCGAGTGTGGAGGGGCTTATAGTTTGAATGTTAAAAGAAGGATCTATGGGATGAATCCTAGATCTAGTCAGGATTCCTTGACACCAATTAATCAGATTTATTGTACGTATATATATAATATATATAATTTAATATAAAAAATATATAAAACATAGATACATTTGCAATGATTACATGCATAGAAACAAAACTTATGTACAGTTAATCAACTCAGAGGCGGTGTAAGACGTGGGCCACCTCCTACGGCCTCGCTGTCTGAGGGGCCTTGTGCTTCGAAGATTTATGCATTACATAAAAGCCGTAAACTCAACAAAAAAATTTTACTCGTCATAAAACGATAAATATATTGACATACCAAATTTGTTTTTATTTGTCTAGCAACATTTGCTGGCGTTGGGTTGCTATCGTGGGGAATCCTTGCCAGCAGCCAGAGCTGGCAAGGATAAGGAAAATTGTTTAGGACTCTTGATAGAATCAATGTTTATGAAATGCAGCAAATGTTTTATTTAAATACTATATACACACAAGTGTCAGAAAAAAGTGTTAACATTTAAACCAGTTTTTAATATTAGGCTCATCAATTTTTCTTCCTGGAATGTTCTAATATATCAATGATATGACTGATCATTGCTGATTTACAAAATGCAATCAGTGTTTGTATAAAATTATTGGACAAATATATATAGTTGTCTTCTTACTAAATTCTAAAGATATATTTAATTTGTTGAGTGTAAAAGAACATCATTTGAATGGCTGGATCTTGCAAACTGTTCCAAAATTAAACTTGATAACTGTAAGTTAATGTGTAAACTGAAAACTGAAGCACTGACTGATGTGCTGACTTCTGAACCGGATTCAGGATTCAATTCTCTGGAGTAAGCAACAAAATATTAATTGCTGTTCTGGGACCCACTCAGCCTTCATTGTAACAAGTACAGTACACCTATCCCTCTTTTTACACAGTCCATTTTATGCAATTTTGAAATAACACAGTCAACAAAAGGAAAACTAATCCTCTTTTTATGTGATTGATTCTTTAACATGGGATGAAAACAGTTTATTTGAAAATTGCTAAATTTAACTTTTCATTAAAATTGTGTTATTGTTAAAAAAGTTAATTTTTTTTAACTCTTGATTTCAACAAAAAGGTAACTTTTGATAACGTTACAGTACATATAATATTGTACTGTACATTAGAGAATGCTG